CTCTCTCTCTCTCTCTCTCTCTCTCTCTCTCTCTCTCTCTCTCTCTCTCTCTCTCTCTCTCTCTCTCTCTCTCTCTCTCTCTCTCTCTCTCTCTCTCTCTCTCTCTCTCTCTCTCTCTCTCTCTCTCTCTCTCTCTCTCTCTCCCTCTCTCCCCGTCCCCTCTCTGAGCTCTGCTCTTACTGTGGTAATGCTTGTTTACAGTCGATGACAGCTCACGATGGCTACGTCTGGTTCCTGCCTCGCTGGTATCTCAAGGGCTGGTACAACGTCGACGGATACAACAAGCTAACGGGAGAGAACGTCACCTGTAAGACTGAGCAGGTACGTACGTGTCTCTCTCTCTCTCATTTCTCCTCAATTCTCCTCCTCATCTCATGACTCCCCATTTCATCTTCGCTAATGATTCATCATAATGATGATGATGATGATGATGATGACAATAATCGTGATGACGGCAATGATGATGATGATGATGACAATGATGGCAACGATGATTATGATGATGATGATGACGCTCTCTCTCGCGTTGCTAGGTGATGTACGCGCTCGAGGGCCACCTCAGCCTGACACCGATGATGATGATGATGATGATGATAATGATTATGATGATGATGATGACGCTCTCTCTCGCGTTGCTAGGTCATGTACGCGCTCGAGGGCCACCTCAGCCTGACGCCATCGTTCTACGACACGGACGATGTACGCGCTCGAGGGCCACCTCAGCCTGACGCCATCGTTCTACGACACGGACGACGTGCGAGTGGTCGGCAACGTCACCGTGCGTGAGTGGAAGGCCCGCTACCGGGAGAAGCTCGACATTAACGTAAGCGCGCTCGCTAGTGTTGTCAATCGGTTGTAATTTCGTAATCGATCATCGGCTGGACCCAAGTAACGATGATCGGTTACAATCGGTTACTCGGGGTGTTGAATGCCTGCGTGTGCATAACGTCGTGTGCATGCATGTACGTGTGTGCATGTATGTGCTTGTTTAGCCAGCGTATAAAATCCCTAGTGTGTCCTAGGCTTTAGCCCCTCAACAGGAAGTAACTACGGCGAATGTCGGGTGATTCCCGAACTAAAATAGCAATGATATCTTCTTCTTTGTTTCGATGAAATCGATTATGGATTTTGATAACCAAGCGCTTGGTTCGAGCCACTGTTCAACCGATGATCGAGTATAATCGATGATCGTTACATCACTAGTGCTCGTGGTCGAAAACGCTGTCGCAATTAAATGCCGCCGCCGCCGCCATCATTGTCGTACCTGTTGTCTTGCAGGGTGAAGCTGATGCGTGCGTGCTGGGAGCGCGACCCCACGCTGCGTCCTATCCTCTGACCTCTGACCTTTGTCTTGCAGGGTGAAGCTGAAGCTGTGTCCTAACCCCTGACCTCTGACCTCTGACCTTTGTCTTGCAGGGTGAAGCTGATGCGTGCGTGCTGGGAGCGCGACCCCA